TACCTGAGCCAAAGATACACACTTAAAATATAGAAAGAGTCATAGTGCCAAAGTGGAAAAATTACTCAGAGGTGCATGTGTCAAGTGAGAAAAATGTGTGATCGCTCTTCATGAGAAAACGCCTCAGGCAGAGTCGTGTTGAAAAGGAAAGGCGGCTTTCCGTGTGAGGACGGAGAAAAGCAGTATTGCAGATTTATTGCAGACAAATCAGCGCGCCTCTACGTCATCATCGGTGTGTGTTGGATCAGTTTAATTTGTTATGTAAATTGTTTGTCAGCTGCAGGAGTTCATGGTGTGCACAGCGAACTGTCAGATGAAAAAGGATACGGTCAGTGCCGGGAAACAGAGCACGTCCAGTGAGAAGTTCTGCCATTATACATCCCACAGACCAAATATCCACTGAAACACAGAAGGACACAGACATTATACCCAGAACACTCTTCTATTTACAGACGGATCACAGAGGGGAGCTTCTTTATGCCGTCTACCTGTCATGTTGTAATGCATCCAGTTCAACATGATCTCTGGGGCACGGTACCAGCGGGTCGCCACGTAGCCGGTCATCTCATCGTCGGTGTGTCGTGCCAGACCAAAGTCCAAAATCTGACAACAATTTAAATGCAAAAAAAAAAAAAAGCAAGACTTAAAAAATACAAACAAATCATTTACTTTTGTAGACAGTTTTGAGATAAACTGATGTTTCAAATAAAAGCAGCGCTTCACTGACCTTCAGCTCACAGTCTTCATTCACTGCAAGGTTACTTGGTTTTAAATCCTGTGGTAATTTAAACCAAGATGGTGAGATGAAGTAAATCTGTTCTTTGTTAAAAGATGAGTCTTACATCATTAAAAATTAAATCTAAAGTCAAAGCGTTATGACTTCCTTTCTTTTCACAGGATTAACAAGTCTGACTCTGCAAAGTGAAAGAAGTCAAACCCCGGGACACTTCATGTCCTCCTGTTCAACGATTGTCTGACAAAAGTTACTATAAAATGAAACAGCACTTACTCGATGGATGATGCCTGCTGAGTGAATATACTGCAGAGAGACGGGAGCAGACGTGTCAGATTACATCATGTGTTTACAGATGGACTGATTTAACACAACAAAACACATCAGGAGATACAGGACACGATGTAAAAACATTAGA